AAATCTGTCAGCTCTAATCAAATAGCACTGAAGTTTGATATTCTGTTGTTGACACTCTTGAACTAAATTCCACTCAGTGTTATTTGTCCTAAGCCATACAATCTTCATTTTCTACCAAACCTACACATACTTTAGGCAAAGGCAGAGAAAAAGGATAAAGATGAGACTTTCTGTGCTTCTGACACAAATGCTACAGTACCTGCAATTAATATGGCTGAGAAGACACTCAGAGATAAACTTTTATTTCAACCACAATACCCAGTACTGGTGTGCTGAATGAAATGTCCATTTAAATTTTTGACCTAGCAGATCTGTGATTAGGAAAGTGCACAGTTCAACAGGCCATTAACTAATTCATTAAATGATGCTCATTATATAGACAAAGTGTTATTTCTTCTGGAAAATGAGCAGGTCACTGACCACTACCTTGATGGGATACAGCCAGGAATTAGAATGGATATTTTGAGTTCATATTTGATTAGCATTTGAGACACTCTTCCCCCAGGACTGCACATGCAAAGTTCCTACCATAGCCCCTACCATAATTGAGCTATTATTCAAAGACTGAGAACGCTCATTCCACTTAACACTATCTTAGTTTTACTGACAGTGCTGAAGACAACAATCTGTTCCCTAGACTATTAAAGGACTTTCAGAAATAAAAAATTAAAAAAAAAGAAGCTGAAATCTAGCATCACATGCCAACAGTGAAGAAGTCTTTGAAAAAAATAATATCTGTGTCCCTGAGGTATTTCAGAAAACCTCAAACCTATTTAGATGAATTGCAGCAAAGCAGCATTCATCATTAACACAATGCAAAACAGAGTCTGTGGATCTTACTGACCAGTTGGGTACTTTGGGGTGGTAGCAGGGAAAAGGGCAAACAGTACATGCTAAAGCTGAATTAAAAAAAAAATCAGCAGAGATGCAGAAGATGCATTTGAATTACCTTCTGTAGATTCCTAGCTCAGGTGGCACCTAACTAATTTTTATGTGATCCAGAACAGGACTTCATAGGCGTGCTCCACAGCCCGTGGAAATCAAAGCAGACAGCTGCTATTAACTCTCTTCACTATGGAGCTCCTCTGTGTTAAAGGTACATTCTTAATCTTCTAATTGAGCTAATGCAAGATATTAGCTATAGGGATGCAGTCTGAGGAATGCATTTAAATGGGGCTTTAAAGTCTCATCCCTTTGTTTCATCCCACTGCTTAGAGACATCCTGGCTAATTCTCCTTCTTTGGACTAATGATCACCCAAAACTCAGTGCCCACCCAGATTTCACCAGACTGAAACTGCTAGGTTACATATGCTGCCATAAGAGCATTCCCTTCCACCTCAAATCTCATGTTGGCCACATCAGACTAGGGAAAAAATGCTCATTCCTCAACTCAAATGTCAGTTACCTTTTAGGATTACCACTTGGTTTGCTTGACACAGACAATCACTGTAACCTGAACTGTAGCTAAATCCTTAAAAAGGGAGAATTAAGAAGGAAGTGTTATGTACAAATAAAAAAAGTAATTTACTTCTATATACAGCATTTACAAATTTCTACATGAATATATTCTCATAGTTTTTGAAAATCAGGTTTTCCTAGGACAGCTGTCAGAAAACCAGTCTTACAGTGTGAGCCTTAAAGAGTATAATAATTCAAATTTACCAGAACAGAAGTTGAAAGGTATCTTGACTACTGTATAAAATTTTTTAGTAGTCATAGGGTTGATAAAATTGTGAAAGTCTATGAAAGAGGCCAGGTTTGCAGATCAAGGCAATAAGCTCATCAGGCCAGGTGACACAGCTTCTCTGCACAGAGACCTTTCAACAGGTCACTGCAGTTTGTCACAGACACTTGTTCAGAAAACATACCTGAAAAAGGGGCAATTTTCAGTGTTGCTGTCAAAGGCATAGCAAAAGGAAGACTGGCAGCTGAAATTAGACAAATTCAACCTTTCCACAACATTTCCTAGCACTAAGGGTAATTAAATATTGGATTGGCTTACCAGGGGAGCTGGTGGACTCGCCATTGCTTGGAGCTTTAGGACGAGATTAGATATCATTGTAAAAGAGATGCTTTAATCCAGCTTCTGGAAGTTCTCAACATGCCCATAACACTTGCAGCTCTGCATTAAGACAATGACTATAATCAAATCTCATACTTTAGGGTTTCAGCTGATCAACTGCAAGGGTTATAAAGAATTTTTTTTTCCCTTCACATAAAAACCAGACAGATACTTTAGTGTGGTTTATTCTGATCTGTCTCTGAAGTAGCAGAGATTGTAGGAATCTACAGAAAACACGATGGGGCCAGTGGTGATAGGGAAAGTACTTCCTCTTATCCTGAAATTCACAAAGCAGTTGTATCCAAATGGGAACTTACATGAATTTAAAGTCATCTTGATGGATGCAAATCCCTCCTGCCCTGGAACCTGTGTGATTAGGTCAGGCAGAGGCAGGTTTTGTATGTCTGCCCTGCTAAGGGTCTGGCAGTAGCACCCACTCAGCATTTCACTGACACTGCTACATGACTTAAGAAAGGGAGTCATTTCATGCTCTGCTCCTGCAGAGCACTGGCCAAGGGTCAAGTGAAAAACTATTGGATCACCATACCCTTAGAGGTCTTGTTAATGAATCCTGCTGGAATAGCTCAAAGGTTGTGGTTTTTGCCAAGGTGAGATAAATAGAAATCTCAAATGAGTTTGGTTCGTGTTTGCACAGCGTGAGATACAAATCACCTGTTAACACACATTATTTCAGCTAATTAGCTAATTGTTATTAAAGATGCATAAATAATACCTTGATCTCTTCTATCTGCTGAAAGTTAACATACTTTGGACTAACTAGAGTAATCATGTTAATACATAGGTATCAGGATTTACTGTTCTGTGTTTTCCAGCATACATACATAAGCATCCCCTTTGGTTTTTAATGTAGCTACACCTGTAACTGTACATTCTGCACTATTTTAGCAGAATACTATCATGACTTGATTATTAAATATATGTACAGCTGAAGGCAAGAAAGAACATTCTTCTACTTTTGCCCTTTTATGTGAAAAGAGTATGTCTTAACTCTGTCAAATAAAGCATAAAATGAGAGATGGATCTTCTAGTGATTTATGTGAGCTGCACTGTAGCAAGTTCATCTTGTGAGTCTCCAAATAAATATCTATTTAAGTGAAGTCCACACCAGGCTTTTATGCTTATTGCCTGCCTATACTACTCTCCTACATCCCTTTGACAGTGTGTTAGATTCTAAAATATTTCTGTGCTACATAACGGGCCATTGGATGGATTTGTGCGCAGCTACACCTGGAATGTAATGCAGGCATGTGAGTCACCTGTTGTGCAATTCAGGACTTTTATCATGCAGAATAAGGATGATTTATCTTTGCCATAATTCTGAAGCATATGTATCAATATAAGGGTCTGTTGTCAGTATTGCTCATTATGATTATGTTGTCATATTACAAAGTAAGAATGGGACACACCATGACAGCAACATCTAGTAACATAAAATATTCATGCAAAAACAAAAGCAGACTCAACCTGTAAAAAGTAGAAAAAAAAAAGATCTACTGATCCTGCTTATCTCAATGTCTATTTTGGTGACACATGCATATATTTGATAGCACCTATGAGGATCAAATTTACAAGATGGCCCTAATTAAGCAGTATATTATTCCATGGGTATCCTTACTCAAACCAAACCAAAGTACTCAGAATAAGAGTTTTCTCATCTGGGATGAAAATGCCAAAATCTGCATTTAAGGTCTTCTGACTTCTCAAACAGACTGCACTTGTTGTGCTGCTGTATTTAAGTACAAATAACTCTGACAGAATCTGTACTCAGATCTGCTCCATACTGCACACAGATTTCATTATAATGAACTTCTAAACTTTTTTGTTCTGTTGGTCTTTTTTTGATCCATATCTTACAGCATACCTAATGCCTACAGTGCAGGAATGCTTGGAAAACCTCAAATGAATCTACTGTCCCATATTTTTTCAAGAATTATCTTTGAGGAGAAACTGAAAGAGGAATATTATACTATGCACTAGACACTTTGGAAGCCAATGACATAATAAATAGTAATATCATTCTAATGATAAGTATCATCCCAAATTTTGACTAACTCTCTTTGTTATACAAATATTGCCTCAGTTTTCGCAGCCTGTTCAACTGAAGGATTATTCAAGAAAATTTTGAGTGCAGAAAGAGTCCACATATTTGCAGCAGAGATTTACTTTATTTCAGACAGTGCTCATTTATATTCCTTCTGTGCCAAAATCTCTGCACAAGAAACACAGAAGTTCACATGATTACTTAGCATCAAATTCTCTGCTCTTGTATTTCTGCTAAAAATTTCCCAACCCAAAATATTTGAATTGTGAAGTACAGTTATTACTGAATGTACTATTTTTAAATTTAAGTTCCACACAGCAGAAAACAATGTATGTGTATACAGTAGAATCCATAGGATTAATGTAATTGTGTTATCATTCTTTCTCAATTCTCTAGTGAAAATGTTCTTACCATTCAAAACCTCTTTCCTACACGCTTCAAGTAATAAAACTAGAAACTAAGTCTTGTATTTCTTGAATCTTTGCTTTGCTTAAGTACTGACTAGTGGGGTTTTTTTTTTTTGCCTGCCTTACAGAATCACATGCAAGTTTGAATAACTTAAAATCTTTTCATTAGAACTTGTTTTGGAATAATTCTTCCCTCCCCTTGGATTGTTTACATTAATGATAAAATAGTTAACATTTAATGCAAGTTTTCAATTCTATTCTTTGAACTAGTGCATGTAATTGTTACCTTTCCTTCATTTATCTGAAATCTAAAAAACCCCAACTAATAGTACAGTTTTGACACGTAACAAAATGCTGTCAGATGCACACCAAATAAATTTTACAACACCCCTTTCCCCCCACCCTCCAAGAAAACTCAATAAACTGAGTATAAAACAAACAACAATCTAATCTAACTGTCCACTTTACCTGGAAATGCATGCCCTGTTAGAGAATCCAAATCTGAAATTAAAACAGTGAAAAAATAATCTTTAACACTGATTTAATATTAAAAAGCACAAAAAATCAAAAGCAAACCTTTGGCACCAAATATCACATTATCATCAATATAAAATTTTAATCATATGTATAGAAAAGCAAAACCAGAAAACTTAACATTACATTATGAAAGTTTTCTTCTCCATAGTTTTATAAAGATGTAAAATATTATCTAAAGATTAAAGCTTTGAACAGTATGAGAAGTTAATTTATTTTACTGTTTAAGACAGACATACCACAATTATATAGGAATTTTACAGTATTTTTCAAATGAAAATCTGATTTCATAAACACGTATCTTGAGTATAAACTTTCATTCTACCTTTGTACATAAGAACAAATTAGGAAAGTACAGAATGCTTTTTAGACTGTACCCTTTTAAAAAGATTTTCTTTTTTGACCACAACAAATGAGAGACCTAATTTTTTCTATTCTACTGTCCACACTTTTTTTTCTTTTCTTTTTTTTTTTTTTCCAATCTGTCTTTTTAAAAAAGAGAAAAGAGCTGGAAAAAGCATAAATGAGGTCTTTGCTGGTGACTCCCATCTGAAAAGACAGCAGGAAGGCACATCAGTGATACTGGAGGCATCAGAATGGGCCCTTCTAAATGTGCACTGAGACCAGAGCTCAGGATTCCATCTTTGAAGTGCTTTGCACCTTTTGAAATTCCACGCTCTTAACAAAGATTTATTTGGTACCTTTGAGGAGTTACACAATAGCCAGGAGGGTAGTGGAGGCTGACAAAGTACAGTCAACAGCAGCTGGGGTTGCTATTGCACTGCCAAAGCAAAAGGCTAACTCTCAGACCCACACAGCCAAAGAAACCCTCCTTAGAAAGTTCTCAGTCACCTCGTGTCAGTGATGTGAGCCCATTTGGAGAACAGCTCCTGTTGCTGGGAGCAGTCCCCCAGGTCCCAGTTGGCTCACCAAGAAATGGGAGAGCTTCAGACTCTCCTTCCCCCATCGTAGGACAAGTGGGATCACACAGGGGTGCAATGGCTACACTCTCTTGGAAATACACAACAGACAGGTTGTGGCTGACCAATCCACCCCACCATGTGTTTATAGATGAACTTTCTTGTCATTTTTAGGAATTGATTGCATTTACTAGCAGTGCCTGGAAAAAATCTTTTAGTACTGTTTATAAACTGCTTCATCTTAAAAAAAAAAAAGTTGTTTTCTTATTGCAACAGTCAACAGATACAAGATTCTAAGTTAATGGTTCAGGCTACAGAAATTCTGAACTTTTTGTAGTGCAGTAACTAATTCTAAAAGTCATTAGGAAAACATTTACCAATTAACTCCTGGAACTGCAGAAGGAACTCTTTAGACAGAAGGGAAATTTTGCCTAGCTCTAATAACTTTTAACAATTTACCTGAGACATTTCCTGAGGACTGTGAACATGCTTAGTTTTGTAAATGAACACAGGAGAAAACCAACCTAAAATGTGATAAATGCACTAGAGAGATTGCTTTCTGAAATCCAAATTGCTGAACACACGGAATTAACTAACAATTCCAATATGTGGTGTCTCAAGCTTTATCATAAACTATAGAGAAAAAAAAAAAGCATTGTCAGGATTTTTTCTTTCAGAGTCTGAGAGACAGAAGAGTGTTGTTACCCCCTAGGAGTCCATAAAATCCACACCAAAACCAGATTATGCATAGATGGAGCATCTAGCCAGGCAGTGACTGCTTCCTGAAAGCACAGAGACAGCTTGTGGCTACCCTGCAAATCAGAATCACCAAAAAAATATCTAATACTTGAATTGTCCAAAATGCTGTCACTATGCACATCCTGTGGCACATCCTGGCACAGCAATAAGGTGTTTAAAAGCATCTGTTCTATATCATTAATAAAATATCCTGATGAAAAACCTCATGATCCAAGAAAAAAAAAAAAAAAACAGAAGAGGAAAAATTTCTCTTCTTCCTATAGCAGTGAAAAAATATCTACTCAGACACTGGGATTTTAAAAAATAAAAACAAACAAACAGAAAAACCAACCAAACAAACAAACTAACTAACTAAAAAAACCCCTCAAATCAAAATAGAAAAACTGCAACCAAACCAGAAAAGCGGGACTCCTATCTGAAAAGTTCATGTACATATTGTAATTTGCAGCAGAAATCACTATTAAAAATGCTACTCTGAAAGAAATGCAGATAAGTTAATGCAAATTAATTAGGTTCTTGTCCCAGCATAAAACAACACTTCTGTGTAATCCTTTGTGTTAAACTGATGATATAAATTGTGGATGTGTTTATTTTCGCACAATTCAGTCTACACTAACTGAAAACAAGGTAGTTTGTCACCCAAGCATTTGTCCTGTGTGAACTGTTAAAGAAAATCAGACCTACTTTGCTAGCTGGAACCAGAAGATTTTATAGTATATTGAACCCACAAATCATGATCCACATGCCCCAATTCCATCATTACATTTCACAAAGAATGATGTCAGCTGACACTGCATAGGCAGGCAAGGTAAAGTTTCCCATATAAAGATAAATGCCATGTGCAACATTTCCCTTCCAGAGTTCAATACATGAAATTACTGCAGTTATAATGGAATGAAATCTTTGCTGAAACAACTGGAATATTTAGTCTCTGCCATAAGATTTCTTGTACTCTTCTATGGACTCCAAGGGCAGCAGAAAAATCATCATTTCCTGTTATTGTTAAGAGCATTTTTCAGTTTCCTTGACTGATTTTCAATTAAGTAAGCCTGAAAGGGTGGAATCCAATTTTCCTCCATTCCATTTATTTAGTGAATTGCCCAGATTTGTTGCTATTCACTTTCATTTTCATACACAAGGCTTCCTAAGCAGCAGGAATCTGAGATGAAAGTGGAATACACAAAAGTGACACACACTTTTATCCCCTTTTTAAGGCAACATAGCTAACATGTCAATATTAGCAGTTATCAAGGAATTACACTCATGAAATCCAGACCCAATTCATACTATAAGTAATTTATTTAGGTAATAAAACTGGTGAATTGACAATAAAGCTGACTTTTAGTTATAATGCAATGGATGTTTTTTTAAATGGGGAATGAGTGTGCACTTTTTAGCAAGCAGTATCTCTGGTACACCACATTTTATTAGCTCAGTGCAAAACAGACGTTGGAGATGGTACAAGATTTCCATGCCAATAAACTAATTATTTCCTCCTAGAGTTGATTAGCAAAGCTGTGGTTCTCTCTGTATCTTGCCTCCAAGGCCCATTCTCCCTATTGTACAAACAGTGTTCACTGCACAATGCGCTGCTCAGCTTTGCCCTTCCCCTCTCCCTCATCTGAGCTCCTCGTGGTGTGCTTACAGCCAGATATCAAAGCACTGCATGGCTGCCACTGCCTGCTCTGGCAGAATGCCAACACACAATGAGTGGAAGGGAGGACTCTTACTGTGCACAGGCAAACACATTTAAGGTGCAGAGCATATTTAAGTCATTTAACATTAAAGGTTCTCCACGGCATTGGCAGCAAGATGATGTAATACCAAACTCTCTCTGGGAGATGGTACCTGCTTAGAAAGGTTAGAAGAAGCTAATGAATGCTAAATCATGCTCTCTTGGAAATACAAGATTTTGCTCTGCTTCTAAGTGTTTTAACAGCAATTGTCAGCAAGAAATAAGTGTAGCTTTGCTAAATCTCCAGTTAGACTCAATCTTATTTTATTATAAACCCCTAACCTAAGCCCAGGTACCCTTGCAGATATGCACAACACCTGTACCATGAATTCTACAAAGCTCAAGTCTTTAAAAAAGATAAGTCGAGTGAAGTCCAGCCGCCCGTAATATTTGGAATACAAAGGGGTGGTTGCAAAGAGGAGAACGAAGAGCATAGAGAAGAACATAGAGCTGCAGTGGCTGAAGATGAAAGATTATTTGCACTCACTAGAAATTACAGCTGTAGTTTTGACAATCAGGTCAGTGAAAACCATTGGCACGTAACTCAGGATTGAGATTGTGAGTTTGGCTGCACCAAGATTTGAGGGTTAATTTGGTACCACCCAAACCTAAAGCCAGAGGTTAAAGAAGCAGGTGAACAACTCTGCATTAGCCTCTAGAGGGGGAGAGTTTCCTTCAGCTCCAGAAATTATGTAAATTATTCACTGAAAAAAGGCTTTTTCAGTAGAAGCAATTCTTGCACAGTTCTGTTGCCTCAACTTGGGTTGACTCTATTTATTATCTGTCACTATGATCCTAACCTACTGCAATAAATCTGTTTTCAGAGTCTCTCTTATTTTCATTAATAGGTTATTTGCATTCATTGGTCACCAATCCTATAAAGAGCACAATTACAATTTTAATGGAAATGTAAACATTTCTTGTGAGAATTTCCCTGACCAGAAAAAAAAAAAGAAAAAAAAAGAGTTAGCATAAAGCTTGCACTCAAGAATTCATTACAATGCAGTCATCAGTTACCATCTTACAAACTACTGCTCACTTGTGCCGGTATTTGGAATTAATTTTTATTTTTGGAGATAATTTTAAAAAATCCAGTTGAACAGTTAGTCATGAAGAATTATCAATATGACATTCAAAAACCTATTTATTGCTCTGATTCGATTTGATAGTATTAATTTTTTGATAAAAAATTACATCATATTGAGACAGGTAGATTACATTTATGCTGCTAACCAGGGTTTCATTTAACTGCATTTTTTCTTGTGATACCATTAAGAGTAAGATTCAAACTTACTTTTCTTCAGTAGAGGTGTTTTGTGCTACATGTCTGAGCTTCCATTAGCTCCAATGAAGAAGTAGTTGAAATTGAGTCAATTAATTGCATTGAAAAGTAGAAATTAAACTTGCACAGAGGAATAGTTAGAGCAGCTCTTTCCATTGACAAGATCTCTAATGACTACAGTGTGAGCTTAGACAGCTACATATCTACATAACCTGTAGTGCTGGCAATTGGAGATGAATCTCATCACCAGAATCTTTCAGGAAAATAATCT